TTTTTTTTTTTTTGCTGCGCTCACTTTCCCGATGGAGTGACGCTACTCCCGTCATATCTGCGTGCTTCTCTCAGTCCCCACACACACGAGTGACTGAGCTCTGCGGGCCGCACTCACGCGCCGATGAAAGGGCTGAGGGGAGCAGCAACACGCAGATGACCCCGTGAAATATAAACGATGTGCGGACACACAGAGGGTCAGACGGTTGAAAGACATGCAACTATTTAATTTTTTTTTGGGGCAAAATATATGCAGACAGTTTGGTGGGGCTAAACGGTAAGTGTTTTTTTTTTTTGTGTGTGTGTGTTATTTTTCTTTTCTTTTTTTTGTTTAGGGTGGAATTATAGTAGAGGACGGCTTTTTTCTTTTTTCTTACATTTTTTTTTCTTGTTTTTTTCTTTTTTCAAAGTGTGAGGTGTGGAAGGGTGAAGATGAATTTTTTTTTAAATTTTAATAAATTTTTTAATGAATTGCCGCTGCTTTGTCTGCAGTGCAATATAATGAGCTTGAGCAGTCTTTTTCTCTTTATTTCTGCCATGCATTTCTGCTGTACGTTTTTGTTTGTGCGTCCCTTCACTTGCTCTGCTCCTGCTTTTACTTCTTTGCTTCGTCTGTCTGCAGGCACACACAACAAAATGCACGCACAAAATGCACATTGCAGTGGATTTGGATGCTTTTTTTGTAGCGTGTGCTGGCGGTTGCGGGTGGCTGCTGCTTCCTCCGTGGGCATGAAGGGAAGGAGGAGAGAGGGAACGCGCACCGCGAGTTACTTTTCCTGCGGGTGTGATGCGCCGCCTGTGACTTCTTTGAGTTGGGCACCGAATCCCATTGTGGGCGGAATGGCTGGAAACCTTGTTGCCACTTCATGGCTGGGTGAGGATCCGCTTCCTCGTGTGGCTCTTTGGGCGATTGCTGGCTCCGTGTGCGTTGTGTGCCGGCAGCGGGCTGTGGCCGTATTCCGTTGCCGTGGGATTGAAATGGAGGCGGTGGCGGTGTGCCTCTTCTCGTTTTTGTCCATTGGTGGTTGATTGCTGGCGGTGTGTGCGTTTGTTGTGTGGAGGGCCGAATTTTCTTATCCGCGTACTGGCAGCACTGCGATGGTGTGTGTGTGTGAGGGCTGGTGTGGAGTCGCTGGCCAGGGCGAGGGCCTTTGGCGATGCTTTTCCCGCCTGTCGTTTGTTCCTTCCGTGTGTGTTATGCTGCTTCTTGCTTTTCTCCTGTCACCCTCTCCTCCTGTGTTCCTGCGTGGAGTGGCTGCATGCTCACGGGCCATGTTGATTGTGAGTGCCTCTTGGCGGCATCCATTCATATCTCTCTCTCCGCCTGTCTGTCTGTCATTCCCTGTTGGGTGTGGCGTGTTGCACCGCGTGAGGGCTGGCCCGCACACACCGACGGCCCGCTGTGACTTGCCGCGTTGCTGCTCTTTTCTGTGGGCGATGGTTCTCTGTGCTGTTCCTTCCGGATTGTCTCGTGTTGCTGCTCTCTGCGTGGGTGCTCTGCTTTGCTCCTCACTGACCTTTCTGGTGTATTGCCGCTGTTGCTGCTGTACTCTCCACTTCTTGAACACAGACACACTAGGAAGGAAAGAAAACGAGCGCTAATCGCTACCGTGAAATTCGAAGGCTCTGAAAGGACCAACAGCACACACACCGCCCACACACACATATTTATATGCTCTCACGTGTTGTTACAGTGAAGGCACCCCGCACACACAACCGTCGCGGCGTGACCGGATCCAGCGGAAGGAGGAGGGAAGGAAGAGAGAGTGAGCCGCAGAGTCCCAACATGTCCCGGTGTGTTTTTGATTTAGCGGTGATGCTCCTCTTTGTGATGGTTTGCTGCGGCACCTGTGGGGCTTCGACCGCCGTGAAGAGTAACTCCGGGGCTGTGCAACTGGCGCAGGAGATTGATATTTTTGTGCCGATGAAGAAGCGGGTGGTGTGAAGAGATGGGACTTGGCATGTGAAGTGAAGAAAGCATTCGTCTCACCCTCTATCGTCCGTGCTGGCGGAGTAGTGCTTGCCTTTGCTGAAGACTTGTCCGGGTATAACGCCCATGAACATAACCTGTTTGGGGTTCGGTCTTCCGACATTGTGGCTGGGTACATCAAGGCTGCGGAGACGTGGCCGTTAATTGCCGCCGAGAACAATAAGGATAAATGGAGGGTACGCACACTGTTTAGTACAGTGAATGAAGAGGATCTTTTTGGTGTTGCGTGCAACCCCACAGCGATTGCAAAGGACAATAAAGTGTTTCTACTTGTGGAGAGCTACAATATGTAAAAAAGATGATGATTGCTAGAATACGGATGGCTGGGGTATTCAACTGGTTGTGGGTGGTGCCACGCACTCCAATGACGGCATGCAAATTAAATTGATCGACTGGGCTGAACCCAAGTCACCTTCACGGCACATCCCCCAAAGGATTAAAAGCAACCTGTCTGATCTTGATGGTGGCAGTTCAGGCATTGTAATGGAGGGTGGCACACTTGTGTTTACCCTGAGGGCGAGGAATGGGGAAAATCAACCTTTCTCCAGGATCACTTATTCAAAAAACAACGACAACAACTGGGCGTTCCCAGAGGGCATTTCTCCTGCGAAATGCTTTAACCCCAGCATCACCGAATGAAATAGGAGACACATTTTTATGATCGTTCAGTGTAAAGATGGCCAGAGTTTGTTTGAGTCGCGTGACATGGGGGCAACGTGGACGAAGGCTATTGGGACACTCTCAGGCGTTTGGACCAATTCACGATTGGGAGTCTTTCGGGAAGACAATTTGCCTGTGGAAGCCCCTATCATCGCGACCATTGAGGGAGTGAAGGTGATGCAAAACACTTGGGAGG